TAAAAATAAGAATGTAAATTAAAATAAGACATGACTTAAAGGTTTCAGTTACCAGGTCAGAAAATCCCTTAAAATAAAATAAAAAAGGATAGTGTCGTCGTAAAACGTGCGGGGTCGCTGACCCCGCGCCTGCACGACGTGCACTGCGTGATTTACTATGGGTCACTGATGTACATTACGCGTTTTTTTTTAAATGTGGTTGAACAAACGGATGAGCTTACCACTCAACTGGTGCGAAGTGGTTTCCGGAGCCCGTGACGTCACGTCGTGACCCCCGCCTCAAGTGGCGCAGTTGTGGTCTCTGATTGCTATTATAATACCCACAAAAAATAGATTTCGTTGATGACATAAATTTTCCATAATTATATTAAGAGTAGTTTGTGTCTCGGCGCAGGTGACGGTGCTGCCCGCGGGCCCCTGGCCGGTGCTGGCGCCCGTCGCGGCCGTGCAGCACCTCGGCTACCCGCGGCCCGCGCAGCTGTACCAGGTGTTCGGCGCGGGCCCGCCCAAGGTCATCCAGTCCACCTCGCCCTTCGGCTCCGACGGGCCCCAGAAGACGGTCTACGGGAACCCTAAGGACCCCTTCATGCCGCCGCCGCACGTGCTGCAGGGCGCGCCCTTGAGGCCTCAGCGCGCCCCCCCCGCCCCCCACGAGCCGCCGCACGTGCTCGACCTCACGTGCAAGCTGGGGTCGCCCGCGGGCAGCGCCGTCCGCGTCGACTCTGATCTGGAGATCACGCTGCTTGAGGATACGAACGCCTCGCAGAAGAGGCCGGCGCTCCGCCCCCCGTGCGGCGCGGACGGGGCGGTCGGCTACAGCTACAAGGACCCGTACGCCGCCTTCTACAACAGCCTGGCGGGGTCCGTGGACCAAAGGCAGCTGGCCATGTACCGAGAGCTGGTCTCCACGCAGTTCCGCGGCTACGGGCTGGCGGGCCTCGCGCCCGGACACGTGCCCACCAGCAAGTGAACTCCTCGTAGTATGCAGCCGCCGGCCGCTCGGAGGTAATCGGTATTATTTTTGGGAACAAGCGCCGCGGTCGGGGCGGGCGCGCACGGCATGGCACACGGCTGCGGCACGGCTGCGGTACGGTTGCGATACGACTGCGACACGGCTGCGATACAGCTGCGACATGATACGACACGGTTACGACACGGCTGCGGTACGATTGCGACATGGCTGCAATACGGGTGCGACATGACTGCGACACGGTTACGACACGGCTGCGGTACGGTTGCGACACGACTGTGATACAGTTGCGACATGACTGCGATACGGTTGCGACATGACTGCGACACGGTTACGACACGGCTGCGGTACGGTAGCGACACGACTGTGATACAGCTGCGACATGACTGCGACACTGTTGCGACATGAACATGCGTATTGAACCACAAACGGTTGTTAGGCAGCAGCAAGTTGGCTTTTTATACTGACGTCGTTATGAAACATACGACATACGATTTAAGGGTCAAATTCGAATGACCATCGCTGCGTTGTAGCGGTGCCGCGGCCGTGCCCGCGCGGTGTGCCATGACGCTTACGGTGCAGCGGGCCGCCCGCCAGCCGCCGCGACTAGCTAATGATTTGTAGGGAAATTGTAATTAATAATTCGTGTTGTGTTTTTATTTTTGTTTTTTGGAAATTCCGTTGGAAGTTGTCGATGATGTGGTGGATATAAGTGAATATTCGTTTTTCTTTATTTAAATTGATGTTTTGTTACACGACGACGGGCGGACAGGCTCGCGGCCCGCCTGTTGATAAGTGGACTAGCTTGTAGACGCCACAGCGTGTTCCGCCCTTGAAACCAAAACGCGAGTATGTTCAGTGGCGGTAACAAATAGGATAGTGGTGCCGGTCCGCGCGTTCTCGACTGTGACCACTTAACAACAGCCGGGCCGCGAGCTCGTCGCTCTGAAGTTAATGCGGCACAACACAAAAAAACCAACAGACTTTTAAGAAGACTACTACTAGTAAGATTGTTTTAGAATTCACAATTTGTAAATAAATAATTTGTTGTGAGATAAATGAAAAAAAAAAAATAAAAAAAAAATACTGTGACGGATGTCGCAGTCAAATCTTAAATATACGATGAATTAATTTGAATTGTGTTTTATTTGTCTTTGGGACGCGGTCAATAGTGACTGAGAAGTCAGTCACCACGTGACTCGCATACCTAATGCGGGTCGTTTTCAAATTTGGGATCAAAAGCGAGTTATTTGATTTAATTACTGGTGGTAGGACCTCTTGTGAGTCCGCGCGGGTAGGTAACACCAGGTGGGCTGTGAGCTCGTCGATCCATCTAAGCAATAAAAACTACCACCAGTCCGCGCAATTTTCGTAAAAAGGGGTACAAAGTTTTTGCTTCACGTATATATATACATTAAAAACTACCCCAAATCGCATTCGTATCACCAGTCCGAAGTTCCAATTCTAAATTGTTTGCCATTTTTCCAATAATGCGTGTTGAAATTCGGCAATTTTATTTAATCAGTATAATATAATACAATAATAAAGGAAAACTAACTGGATATTAGAACATTAATGAAAACAAAAGAAGTACCTACGAATCCTAAGCTTTTTAAAAAAGTTCCTATTTCCTATTTAAATTTTCATCAGAGTCCGTAATCAAATGCGTAAAATGAAAAATATAAGTGAATATTAGATAAATTTATCAATAAATGATAGATTGGGTTGATTGAGATGAAGCATTTTTTATTCTGATCATGCCTAAATACAAAAAAGTGGAAAATTAGAGAAAGTTTAAATTCATGAAATCGTTACTTTTTTGGCCGCAAAACTAAAAACGACCCTTGCAAGCTCTTTAAAAGTTTCTAAATGTGAAAATATTTGCCCTAAACATCTAGTGTCTTTGTTATTAGAAAACATTTAAGAACACACAGCATTTTTTCAATTATTAACAATCCCATCTCATCCTCTGTTGAGGTCATCGGCCAGGAGACGTCTCAAGAAAAGTTTTCCGCTGCGCTGTCTCCGCTCGAGAACACGTCCAGTCTCAAATATATTAAGTGTATAATCTATGCGTCCAGTGACTGTCAGTTCTATTTACAAGTATCTAGTCAATTTGAAGATTGTACGTTTGTATGTTCAATCCACACACTTCTATACAAAAAATATTCTTTTATCATTTTGTTTACCTAAATAAGGGTTTTCTATATTAATCCAGGTTATAACTTATATTTGTATGTGACCTCAACCATGTCAAGACGTGTATGAGAAAGGATATTTAAAAAAAAAAGGGTGCGTGTACTTATGTACGCGCGTAAGAAGTTATACTTTATTTTTATTAAATTTATTTCTTTTTTTTTAATATTAAATAATTAATAATAAATATTTAACGTTAATAATTTAATAATATTTAGTATGAATTATATTAAATATTGTCATTTATATTACTAAAAAATGAATGCTAATAACTTTTTTTTACGAGTGTACATGCGCGAAAGTTCACTTGCGGCTATATTCAGACTCGCCAAGTTACGTCGGTCGTATTGTAATGAGCGATTTAGTGGGCATGATGGATTTAGTGAGCGCATCGTAAAATTTCACTCATCAGTTTTTCATAACGCGCCTAAAGAAGTATAACTTCAAAAAATCTATTTAATAGTCTTGTATAAAGTGTATTTTACACAGCAGTCTGTGCTTTGTAACACATAATAATATCTAACAGGATCCTCTAAATATTCAAATTCAGTAGGTAATGAAATAGTAAAAATAGAAAAAGAAACACAATTTTCAAACCATTTATTTTCACATAACTTCCTTGGCGAAACAGAAATATTGTGTAAATAAAAATAAATACATACAAATCATAAATTTCAACTATCTTAAAATAAAAGCCAAGGAAACAGTTTTTACATCAATCAAAAAATTACATCAATTTAGAGTTTAAAATTAATTTTATTCTTAAAAAACAAACCCTAATTTCGTACAATAAAACGTGGTATTTACACGTGGGAATGAATCATTTTTACCAAACATTTCAAAGATTACATTGTTCTTTTTGTTTTGTTTGACTTTTGCTGAAATTGGTTTTTACAATTTTCAAACCAACCAAAAAGCTAAGGTTCTTTTTTAAACATAATGACAGTAAAAATAAAAAATATTCTCGACATTAACTGCCAAATCAACTATGTACTTAACGATAGTTTTTGATTGTACAAAAAAACTAGCCATGAAGAAAACTCGATTGAAAAAATAGGTTTAAAATTTTCAAATTTGATAAACAAGTCAATGTCAATCAACTTTTTTTTTAGGTGCAGTTTTTTTGCACATACAGCCTCAAGATAATACATTTATAGGCGTGAAAAATTATTACGCATTTCCAAACCGCAATCACAGATGGATATAAGAAAGCTTTTATTCAAATACCCTCATGAAGTTATTGCTCATTAGAAAAAATTTCAAGATTTATTTGTATTATTAAAGTAAAGCTCGTAATTTTGAGCTTTCGACTGTAAAAAATTCGTACAAAACATATATTGTGCTGGATTCATTCGTATCAATGCGGATGTCGTGACAAGCCGATTTGAATCGTTTTCGCGGCAACCTTCGTCAATCGCCCGTCCGCCGACCGCGTACGTGCTTATATATTATTGTAAAAAAATAACAATTGTATATATCGGTAAACTATTGAAGGCACCAACAACGCAGACTGCTGTGTTCTCGAAAGACGAAAAAAAAAAAAACGNTTGTGCTGGATTCATTCGTATCAATGCGGATGTCGTGACAAGCCGATTTGAATCGTTTTCGCGGCAACCTTCGTCAATCGCCCGTCCGCCGACCGCGTACGTGCTTATATATTATTGTAAAAAAATAACAATTGTATATATCGGTAAACTATTGAAGGCACCAACAACGCAGACTGCTGTGTTCTCGAAAGACGAAAAAAAAAAAAACACGTGACAAACCACAGACGGAACTAAAAATTTCAAGTGACATTACAAACGTCACTTTTGTGAATCGGCGGCCATATTGCTTTTTTTTTTTAGATTGCTTAAGTGATTTTTATTTTCGAATTTTAGCCAGTATTCAACAGAGTTATCAAGAAATTTAAGTCTTACGTTTCATAACGTTGCTACAGCCGATAGTTTCGATGAGTGTTCACCGCGAAAGTTTTCCGTTTTCGAACACAACAATCTGTATTGGCGGGCCGCGCTATTGTAGTCTATGGAGGACACGGGTAAAACCGGGGGGAATGTGTGTGTGTATGTATTGTGTATATAAATATATCTATATTATATCCTATTTGGTTCGGTCGGCGGACGAGGTCGAAAAAAAAATATACAACGAACTATCAGTCTTATAGAAAGTTCCCGCGCGTTTTTTTCGTGTTAGCGCGCCATTGTTGTTGACACGTAATAAAATCTTCTAGGTTAAAGATCGCTGCATACGTCACAAGTTCTATACGGACGGGATGGGTTCATACTAAATTAATATGAAAGAGCATATTTCGTATGCACAGTCACTCTGTTTGTTCCGGAGACAGAACTAGTGACATCTTGATGACGATATTTTCCAGTAAAGCAAAACATTATTTTGACAATCGAAAAAAAAACTGATAAAACTGAGTCTCGTCATTCAAAAGTTCTTTATAATGTGGTATATTCTCCTTATTGTTCTCTATTCTACCACGTAAGATAGGAGCTACTTCCTCATCTAGAGCAGTAGCAATTAAAGCCAATTCTATCTATCCTTGTTCACAACACTAGCATGTTAGATCCGAGTACCCGTCCCATTCACATCTCGTTACGTATACACCGACCTTAAGTTAGCCTTGTTTTGTCTCTTTCTAGGACACAACGAAAAAGCCATTCCTAGGATCGCGTTTATATGTAAACAATTGGTTGTCTGTAAAGTCGGTTTACTGACGATAGTTGAACGTGACAACGTCATAAGAAAACACTTTTTATTTTAGTTTAGCCACGTGATCGTGGAACGCCTCAGAGCGTGGTAACGCCGCATGCGTCATGTTTTTCATCGAATTATAAGACGTTGTCACGTCAAAAAAACCTTCGCATTTTACGTTCAAAATTCCTGTCAACACGTTCCAAAACGCATCAGGGGAACCATTACGTGTTGTCGTGAGAACGATTCAAGTCGGCTTCATGGTATGGGGAGCCGGGCCCGCGCGGGCGTTAGCAGCGCGCGGGTACTGAGTGTAACGGACATTAAACTATCACATATACAACTAGCAATGCCTTGTCACTTCATTTTAAAACAAACAAAATTTCTATTTTCAGTAAAATTACAACCCTCAAACACACTCGCAAGTTTTTAAATACTGTGTACATACAGCCAAACCGACATGAAATACTACAGTTCTGTATTATATAAGCATCTAGATCAGTTCCAGATCTCATGCTCTGATGGTGTTCGGACCAAGGAATTATCAAAGTGCACATTTTAGAGACTCCTTTTACCAAACCCATTAAATACATATATATCAATTTAGGTAGTTTATCTGGAAAACTGATCAGTGTTACCGGAATGAATTAAGATTTTCCCCGAAACTCAATATGGCTCATCTTATAATATTGATAATGATTAATTAATTGTATCGAGGCATTTCCAAATAATGTTCAGAATCAAGCAGAACTTTATGGGAATTCGATAGTTCTATTCTGATATTTTTTTTAATAGTGACAAGGCATAAAAACAATTGGGAATGTGTACATAGCCAAAAGAATATTTGAATATATTGATTTGATAAGAAACAAAAATGGCTTCTTTGAAAATTTAATACTCAAATGATTCATAAAATATTTTAATGGCTATATACACACATAAATGCTTTTCTGTTCGTATAAAAGAAAACAGACAACACTTACATACTAAAAATAGCAGTGTATTGATTCATTATTGTATGAATGTATGATTAATAATCATTTAGGTCAAACTGAGCTTGGAGAAATAGCACCAAAGCTCAAAATGTTTACTCAATTATTAAGGGTTTACAGTCCATTAATGGGCAAAAATGTCACCATCAGTTATTACAAATTCATCGTAGCTATAGACATCTCCACGTGAATACCATCTTGAGAGGTTAAGCTCAATTGTATGATATAACTGTCTCACTTGTCAAAATGAAATGTAATACAGAAATCGGTGGACTGATATGATGTACCCTTCCTTCCCAGCTCACATGATGCGTCATTCAGAAATTTGAAGTAAATTCAGGCCATGTTATGGGAAGCGGTTTCTGTCAGCTACAATCCTTGCCAATGTCATGTATAGTCGCTTAGTATAACCGATATTATTGTAGCAAAACTGTATGACAGCTATTCTACATCTTGTCGAATATAGCTTAATGATACTTTAACCTCTTGAATGAGTTCAAGTTTTTAATTTCCATTAAACGCTTATTATCCCTGTATTATAATTAAATTAAAGATACATTCATACAATAAGGTCAATTTTGTATCACAATATGTAATATATAAAAAAAACCCAAGACCCTGCAGGTCGTGTGTGCGTTGATCCCGAAAAAAAAAAGACGACTGTGTGAGATGACCGTCTAATTGTAAGAGTATGGGTATTTCATTGTTTTCACGTAAGACTCTAATGCCACCAAAATTAATGACTTACAGCACATATAAAAAAGTGAATTTACGTACTCGGATGCTCAGAAACATGACTGCGTGCCATTAAATTTGTGGCATTTTGCCTGGGAAGCACTTGTACTGTTAAATATATTTTTACTAACATGTCACTTGGTGTATTTGTGCCAGTAATCTTACTATGCGGTCGGTGCAATACTTTATCTGTTTGCATGCACAATGATAGACAACATGAGGGTAATAATCATTTTGGGGTACCTCATCTAACCACTCTTGGTCATTCTCAACATATTTATAGTTTAAATGTTATTTTCACTTACAGAAAAACCATTAGTAAAATGTAAAGTCAATTACAGTTTTTCACAAAACATACCTAACAATTGATTTATATATAAGCCAATCTTGACCTTAGAGAGATTGGAAATAGTCTTCTCGGGAAATGGTAAAAACAAATCTATTTATACACCAAGTGCTATGACAGCAGTGGCGTGTCAATCTATCCAAATACGAGCTCCTAATAAATTCTATCACTGCAGTCCTCAGGAGTCAACTCATCTGCCTCAGCAGTCCATACTCAAAACAATTGGACAGTCATCGGGTATTTAAGCTACGAAGTCTAGTGGCCTGTTGAATCCGCCCTTCCGGTTCATGTACTGTCTGTATTTCCGTTTCAATACCACATGTACGTCCCCTTCAACATTACCATCGACTTTCTTACCTTTCGTTGTGTCGAAACCGCAAAAGCCCATAACCTTTAACATTTCCTGTTCCTCCGGAGTTTTTCCTTCTAAGTCTGCCGGTGTTATAATGGGGCGTTCTCCGATCGGTTTCTTTTGTCTCACGAATGAGGTGCTCGGTATCGGCGAGGGCGAATTCGATCGGCGGCGGCGCGGTGACGGAGACCTGCGTCTGTCGGGGCTGCGTCTCCGCCGGTCCAGGGAGCGGGACCGAGATCTGGTCCGAGGGCGCCGTCTCTCCCTCTCTCGCCTGTCTTCGCGGCGTCTGTCGTCGCGCCGCCGAGGGCTAGGCGACCTACCCATTGTCGTCTATGGAACAATTCGTTTTTTTAATTATACTTCCTATCTATTTATTATATTTTATTTATATATATAGTAAGAAGCGAGTTCGTGAAGTAAGAGAGAGAAGATGCATGTGACTAGGAGATGTATGGAAATGGTAGTAGTGCAAGGTAGAGGGGGAAGAGGTCGATCGAAGAAGACATGGATGGAGTGTATGAATGATGATATGAGAGAGACAGGAGTGAGTGTTGAGAAGATGGCAGATAGAAGGGAATGGAAGAGAAAAATTAGCTGTGCCAACCCTACCTAGTGGGATAAGGTGGAGAAAAAGAAGAAGATTATATTTCCTATACGGTAATAAGCTGACGCCTTAAATATATTGATGGGTTCAATGAGCATTCAAAAACTGTTACATTGGCAAATGAGAAGTATGATTTAATTGAAGACATGGGTGGATGAAGGGGATATTTGTTAATTTTCAACAAAACTGGGAACAAATCATTTGTTATTTGTACTTATTCTTTATACTTAACTCCTTCTTCACAGGCAATTTCTAAAAATAGCATTTAAAGCTGGAGTTTTAAGGTCTAATATGGTTTATAGGCACATAACACATTCATTCAATGAAAAAACTCAAAAATCTTATAAATCGTACTTAACCCCTTCATCCACTCATGGCTTCAATTACAAAGTTGTCTATTTTGTGGACCAGTCATGGGTCAATTACCGTGTCTACTGATAGTAGGTCGCGCCACGAGCCTGTACGGATATGTACCAATATCCATGGCGACGTGGCGAGTCGAAGTGATGAATTTACAACGAAACATGAGTATCTGATCTATCGCAATTGGCGTTCGTGTTGTGACGTCTACAGCGTGTGGGGAACCAGACGGCGTCATAGTCGTAACATACAGTAGAACCTACTTTAATGAGCTTTTTAGTTTTTCTGATACCGTCATTCCTAATAGCACGTGATTTAAAAACTTGGCTAGAAATATTTGATTGTGTGGATAATTCTTAATACGCTCTTTTATGTTGATGAAGAGAAACGTTCACGACCAGCCCTGTACTTAATAGTTTGCAGAATTTGAGTCATGAAGTTGATATCGATTTTGTAAAACGTAAAACTTATACAAATTCCCCAAGTGCATCTAATTGCAGTCAGTCAACGGCGTGGGCCTGGGATGCTTCTGGATAGTTCTCTAGCCAATCTACCATGTGCAATTCTACAGGGGACTAAAATATAATAGAAGTGTACGATATCCTAAATTAAGATGTTAATTGATTGTTTTAAAAATATGGCCTTCTATGAAATTGTACAATTTAGAAATGAGCACGAAAACATACTTCTTGTTGGTCTTGATTAATTTAACTTATATTAATTTCATCATCAATTAACTTGGGCTAATTTAAATCTTATTTGNCCATGTGCAATTCTACAGGGGACTAAAATATAATAGAAGTGTACGATATCCTAAATTAAGATGTTAATTGATTGTTTTAAAAATATGGCCTTCTATGAAATTGTACAATTTAGAAATGAGCACGAAAACATACTTCTTGTTGGTCTTGATTAATTTAACTTATATTAATTTCATCATCAATTAACTTGGGCTAATTTAAATCTTATTTGCAATGCATTTTCGATAGGTTCTTTCTGCTTACAAGGCGTTTCGAATTAATGACTCGAAATAGACAAAATAAATCAAATATGAGTAGTATTGTAGTACAATAAAGAAATGTGAATATTTACCTTATTTTTAAGTCAACAGTATTTAAAATTTACATTTAAAACAAACAAAAAATTAACAACGCACACTTCCTATACGAACGCCATTTTTGAAGTAATGATATTATACTGGCAACTTTTTAACGGCATACTGCGTTTAGATAGTCAAAAAGGTTTTTAAATTTTCTACTTTTTATATTAATAGTAAAAGTTTAAATATTGTAGCCTTAAGTTACAAAACGCATATTTATATATCCTAACTCCCCTGTAAGAATTAAAACAAAAATGCTTGTAACTTTAATAAAAAATTTAGTTTATTATTTGAAATTTTAAAGAATAAAAACAAAACGCATAAACGCAACAAAATGTAAAATAAAAGTTCAGAGTGATATTTTAACTTAAGAATATATGTTTACGTGTCAATTAGGAGTTTAAGTTTAATTGAAACATTTAACAAATATTGAAATCTTTACAACAGATTAATTTCTTTACGTTTTAAAGTAAAACGAAAGTTTTTTTGTAATGTTATCAACAATAAATCATTTTAGAAACAAACGGGAAAACCAAATAAATATTTTTCACAAAGTTGAGAATATTAACAAAATACTTCTTACTATCGTGATTTGAATGATTATGATTTATGACCTACATGATGACAATCTTTGTCTTTAATTTAAGCGCAAACACTCTACTTGAAACATAACGAATCAGTAAAAAAGTGAAAGCAATATACAAAGACAATATTACTGCCAAGGTGTAGTCGTCCCATATCTTGAATTAAAACAATAACAAACTATGGACGCTCTCTGCAAAATGATGAATACAATTTCGCGCCATACAGAATAGATATGGCCTTATTCATATTACAATCGACTCCGTGACACTTCTGAAGCTGAATGCGAATCTCTAATTAAGTCTGGATCGAAGAAAATGCCTATGGTTTCGTTATTGCAGATCACTTGGCAAAGATTAACCAACGTAAATGTTTTGGTGGTATTTAGTTCGCTTTTGCATCTAAACGCCATCGGTGAGTGAAGATCTGGGTTTTCATTGCATAGTACTTCAGGGCCCCTCTGGTTCCCTAGTTACCATAGTCCGCATCCATCATAATGTAAACCACACCCCACTTGAAACGTCAGCTCAAAGGGAAAAGGGGAACGTCTGATTGCTTCGTGGCTGAAATAGGCAAGGCGGTGATAACTAAATATGTTTTCGAATCCCCTTATTGGCTTTTTTTTTTTTTTTTATTGCTTAGATGGATGGACGAGCTCACAGCCCACCTGGTGTTAAGTGGTTACTGGAGCCCATAGACATCTACAACGTAAATGCGCCACCCACCTCGAGATACAAGTTCTAAGGTCTCAGTATAGTTACAACGGCTACCCCACCCTTCGAACCGAAACGCATTACTGCTTCACGGCGGAAATAGGCGGGGTGGTGGTACCCGTGTGGACTCGCAAGAGGTCCTACCACCAGTGATTACACAAAGTACACGAAGTGCCTGGGTTTATTTGCCTCTATTTTTGGCCCCCTTGCTCAGCGAGTGTTGATTCAAGCGTACCTATATACGATGCAACTTTGCCTTAATTCACCCTAATCTGTTTGATTCAGATTCGTTCGAATAGCGCAAACATCAAATGCAGAATTAATTTTTTTAACAAGCCGCTATACTACTTTGACGCTGAGACACACAACTGATTCATAGGTTAATTATTATACAGGACAATGGAACCAATCCATATTTACAGGCTCAGAGCTTTACTCATCACCAGCCCTTAAGAATTTAGGGAAAAATATAATACAAAGGCATTCAAAGGGGGACGTAGAAATGCTAGCTGGGTTTTAACGAAGTGGTAGATCAGCCTTTTTAAAATAATAAAACAGAGAGTAAGTATAACTTATAAAGCGATGAAACATTACAATTGATTTAGCCAATGTTTGGCCTCATATACAATTTAAATACATATTTAATGTAAATTTGAATTCCCTAGCAGATCAAATTGCCATACTCAAAAAATAGCAAAGTTGAATCAATTACGGTGTGGGCGCTTTAGCTCGACTGTGGCGCCGTCACATAAAACGGAAAAAAGCCAAAACTCGCGCCTACATCGATTGACTCGGTAGCGTGCTGAATTTCTTTGAACGAACGAAATTAATGAAATAACGCCTGTACATGCGGTGTCTGTTAAGCTAGTGCTGTAAAAATTATAAAGAGAACGATAAGTGCGTGTTTTTACAAATATAATGTTTCGTGCTTAGTGCCTGTTACGATCGCCGTTCAAATTTGTGTGTGAATTTTGTGTGTAGTGATCATCTAATTTGTCGCTACGCCGGGCCATCTGCTGGTATGTATTGCACGCATTTGCCTTTCTAATGGTTCATCCTATTTGCATTTCCTCTAAGAAAGCGGTAGTTGTTGTTTTAGTCGCATTTTTTGTGACCTTCCTATTTGGGTGTGTCGTGAAAGACCGCTTCTGAAATGATGATTTTTTTTGTGACCGCCTCAAGTAATTAGTATCTCACATGATTTTATCACGCACACTTAACGATATACGTGCGGTTATCTGTCACGATAACTCGAAATTCTCAAAAAAAATGTTTTTTTTTAAATTTGCATGTTTCAACTCAATTTCATGTTTTAACTGCCTAATTAAATGGATTTAAAACTATTATATTCTTGTATTTATACAAGTTTTTGGGTGTGACATTTCGAATTTCGACATAATCTAATCGATAAGTGAAAGATGATGTCATACATCGGGCGAGAGCCGTGTATAACCCTGCCGGTTTCAACTGTAACTAATACTGACATAAAATAATCGTGTTCGCTTATTATTTCAATACGGTCGAACTATATTTAGTTTTAGATACATACTAGGGTAGGTACAGTAGGTAAAATATTACAGTCAGAACTATGCTATTTCTAAGGAAATAGATATTGTTAAACAGAAATGTACTTTAAGTTGTATGTACAATTTGATTGTACTACTTTGAACAAAAGTAGTATGTATTAAAAACAAAAAATAGTACATAAAGAAAGCGAAATATACCTATATTCGCTTTTTTAAAACTAATTCTATTCCTAATCTAATCTCATTCTAATCTAATGTATTATATAAAAACCCCATTTAATGTTACACTAAATCTAAAACTACTTTTTCTAAATAGTCTCTTTTGTCTAGAAAAATCACTTAATTAAAACAGCACTCACATCTTTTTATTAGTATATTTACAAAGTAATAGTAATGACAAAATTGTAATACTCTCCTGGTTTACACTAAATCAAGTCTTCAACTTTGAACCACCCCCTTATTACACAAAAGATTATTTTTGTTGCCTTGATAGAAAGAGTACCTTTTTTTTATTGCCCTTGTAGGCAGACAAACATATGGCCTTTCTGATTGCGAGTGGTTACCGTTGCCCATGGTCTTCAACAATGCCAGGGGCAGAGCCAAACCACTGCCTACTGTTAAACAGAGCCAAACCACTGCCCGCCGTTAAGTACTCTCCACAAGCCTCATTTGAGGAAGGACATGTCATAGCGCTCGGAAAACACTGTGGAGGGGAGCTCATTCTGAAGCTAGATGGTATGTGCCAAAGAGATCTCTGAAAATGCACTGTAAAAGTACCCATGGTAAGTTCCTGTTGGTCGTGAACATCAGGAATTCTGGGGATATAAACAAGCTGCTGCCTACCACACAGAACTCCCCTTAAACCACCTTTGAAAAATAACTTCAAATATATGAACTAGAGCAACATGTTTCCTTAATTTCGGTCATCAGATATGGAATTAATGAGGTTCGGAAGACAAGATCATATTATATTAGCACTGACACAATAGGCAGTTAATTTGAATGCTTGGATTTCTATTTTAAATGATTTCCTACACACCTTAACCATTCCAAAAATGAAATAGTTTTATCTGCACTCATTGCATCATGCTACTCATTGTATTTGTCATTTTATTTATCACTGCTCTGTAATCTAATGTAAATTGAACTTGTTGAAGTGGTCAAAGCTGTGTTTGCGGGAACCCCTCTACGCTGACCAGGTTCTGATACCGGACGGAGATCGGACGTCGGGTGTAAGGGTGCAGGGGTCAAAGCTGTATTTAGATAAATATTGAAATTAGCAAAACAGAAGAAGTCTCCTTGTTTAACAATTGCCTTAAGTCTCCTATGCAAGATTACATGTTAAAATGCCTTTAGTTGCATTAATGCATCTGTGGAGTTTCACGAAATAAGTTTAAGTTCCTTCCACCAGTCTTATGGAGGAATGTAATTCGTGCGATGAATTAACTCTCCAACAGCGGAGTTGGAGCGCGTATGAGAACCTCAACCGGTATTTATCGAAAAGAAGGGTATTTTCATGAACGAGATTAACCTTTTGAGCGCGTAACGTCGATATATCGACGGAACGCGTCGTGGCTTTATGGATAAGACGTTCGGTGCATTCGTATGTATCGATGCAGCGGTGTTCGAATGCCGCAGGAGGGTACCAATTTTTCTAATGAAATACGCACTTAACAAATGTTCATGATTGACTTCCACGGTGAAGGAATAAAATCGTGTAATAAAAATCAAACCCGCCAAATTATAATTTACGTAATTACTGGTGGTAGGATCTGTTATGAGTTTGCACGGGTAGGTACCAGTGGTACCACCACCCTGCCTGTTTCAGCCATGAAGCAATAATGTGTTTTGGTTTGAAGGGTGGGGCAGATTGTAACTTGTACTGAGACCTTAGAACTGTTATAGATGTGTATGGGCTCCTGTAATCACTTATCACCAGGTTGGTGGGCTCTGAGCTCGTCCACACATCTATGCATAAAAAAAAACATTGACCAGAATCTAAACCTCACCCCTGTGATTTATTACTTAACTAGCTGTTACCACAATGAATTCATTTGTGTGGTTAAGGAAATTTGTCAGTGTAATTTTCCTGTATGAATGAGAGGTTTTATTTTTATTAAAGGTAATCTGGTTGACTGGTAGAGAATGCCTTAGGCATTAAGTCCGCCAATGTAAATTTTACATGAAGTGTAATAAATAAATAAATAAATAAATAATCTATGTCACTCTCCTGACTTAATACTATAGCTTTAAAAAAAATTATATCAGTCCATAGCTTTGTATCAATCTGAAAAAAGGACCAACAAACATACTTTGACATTTATAATAGTAGTATGTATTATTTATATTTAGATTTTTTTATGACTAAATATTAAAATTTTTGAACTATCTGTTCATTGTGAGTAGTACACTCATAGGAAAGGAATATTGTTATTACAGTCAAAACCGTTTACTACGACATCGTTTAATACAACATGCCGGTTATAATAAACTAGAACAAAGGTCCCGGCTGAATGCCATATGACCGCCTTATTAAAAATATTGCTTTCTACGACATTAGTAATAACGACATACCTCATAAAACGACCACATTTAACTAATATTTCGGAGAATTAGATCTGTTAGAACGACCGGCTAAGCTGTATTGTAAACAATTTGAATAGGTATCCACATTTGTCTTCAATGGCTATTAAAATCAGGAAAGAAAACAATAGGATTTAGTTTAGTGTAGGGTCTTTTCTAATTCTCAGAAACAAAACACGTGCATGCGGTAGAGTCAAAGCCCGCTTCTTCATATCTCTTCAGTTAGTTTGTTACTTATCTATACACAAGACGCACCAAAACTTTGTGGAGTTATTCGTGAAACTTTCAAAATGTCGCAAAGAAAAAGAAACCAAATTAATATTGAAGAAAAATCGCGTATTATATCGATTTGTTTGTACTTGCACGATACACATTAAACATCACCGGTTGTTACGACTATCGGTTTTTACGACTGAATATGAGCAGTCCCTTCGATGTCGTTATAACAGATTTTGACTGTATATCATAAAAATTATAAAATTAGCAATTCACAGTATATGTAGCGTATTAGAAGAAAATTAAAGCTTATAGCAAATCCATGACCACTGTGTGCTTTCAAATGTGATAACTCGAAGTTAGGCTTTGTTTTTCAATGTAATTGGAATTTAGTGTTAACTTGACTAAAACTCTTTTCAAATTTTTTTGATTCATTATGTGTAAGTAGAATTTTTCTTTTTCTTATTGCCCTTTATCCCAAAAACTTAGATGATGCTGGTAGTAGATACCAAAATCCATAGCTATCGACAATGTGACTCACTTTATATGAGACAATATAAAGCACTCTTATGCAAAGATATGTTTGTTTCATGTCAGAAATAAATGAAACAATAGTACTCACCGATACATTGGTTTTGCCTCTGTTAATTATAAAATTTAAAACATTATTTAAATTTGTTTTAAAATACTCAATGTTAATGTATATAGCATATAGTAAATTATTATTTATAAAAAAATTATCTGCCTATCAGAAGCTAAGCAAAAACCACAATCGTGTCTACGACGTTTGCAAGAGCAGCTCAAATAAAAAGACATTTAAAACAACAATAATTTACACGTCGGTCTATTTAAGATTTCTTCTTTTTGTAGTCGATCCCTATATCACAGGGGTGGTCGATTTGATTAGAACCAAGATCTACTGTCTACTGACGAAACACTCTGCGATCTACCAATGACTTTTCTTGAAATTTAATGAAACAATGCATCTCGTCGTATCACTCTTGTCAGAGCGGTCGCGGTCGTCATCCAGCATCATTGCTGTGGACAGATGTTATGCGCTTCACGAGCGATCGCCACTCCTGCCGGTTTGTGGTGAGCCTGGTGCACTCATGCAAACAGCCGCCAACTGCCGACTTGATCTGGTCGGTCCATCGCATGGGCACCCTTCCACGCGGTCTGGTGCCTTCTACTTTGCCCTGCACACCGCTTGCCCCGGACGCAGGACGGCGCCGGTTCCTACGCGGTTTGCATGGCGATCCTGTTNTGCGCTTCACGAGCGATCGCCACTCCTGCCGGTTTGTGGTGAGCCTGGTGCACTCATGCAAACAGCCGCCAACTGCCGACTTGATCTGGTCGGTCCATCGCATGGGCACCCTTCCACGCGGTCTGGTGCCTTCTACTTTGCCCTGCACACCGCTTGCCCCGGACGCAGGACGGCGCCGGTTCCTACGCGGTTTGCATGGCGATCCTGTTCTCTTTGCTTGTACGTTCATTACGACTTTCTTGGGAAGATTAGTAGCAGTGGTTTCCCCTTGCCTTCTGCACCGGTCCTTTTGGAGATTATTTAGATCTCCTCTCTCTCTCTCTTCTGGTAGATTACCCAGCCAGATGTTAGTGGTTATACCGCCACAGCTCGGTCGCCAAGTCCTCGTCTGTTATCTAGCAGGGGGCACCACGGGCTGGTGAGGTTGACA